TAAATATTTCGAATTTTGTCACGATAATACTTTTTCTAAATATTTTTCAACATGTAGGAATATGATTAATGATTTAAAACATGCTTTGTTAAATTTGAAATTGAATTTTATATAAGGAAAAAATATTAATTTTATTCTATAGGTTTTAAACAATCAAATCATTACCGTTTCCAATTTTGATAACATCTTTCTCTTTATTCCTGTGGAATTTTTTCTTTCAATTTAATTAATTTTTGTCTGTAATATTTGCCTTTTACATAATTGTGTTCTCTTGAATTATTTTAAATTATATGTACATATGCTTACTTTATTTACTTAGAATTATTTTTTATTTACTTATTTTGCCTATAACATTCCTTCATTTCGTTAAAGATCTTTTTTTATATTTAATATTTTGTGTGATCGCCCCACATAGCAATATTTAAAATTTTTCGAAAACAGTTAAGGTCATAGAAGTTGTAATTTTCCCTAAAATAATTCTTGAAATTTGCAAATATTATTTCAGTAAAAATATTTATAAATAAACATTTCATTTAACACAAAATTTAAGAAAATTAACTCAATTAAAAAAGTTGCAGATGTTTAGAACATATGAGCCACCTTCCCTAGCTACGCCATTTTGTTAAAATGAGTGATATTTCAAAATGAACCTTAAACATAAAATTGGTTAAAAATTTGGAAAATTAAAATATTCTAGTGGTTTTTCATCATGTCGTTTTCATTATTGTTTTTAAACGTCACAAAAATTCTTATAATAATAAGCTATGGAGGCAACGAATTATTTTTTTATTTAGATATATTTAAAATAGAATTAGGCAAATTTAAATTTTAATGACTAAATATCATTCGTTAAAAATTCAAAATATTTAGGGAAAAAAATATGTAAAAATAAATAACTTATGGCTGTTTTTCGATCAACATGCTATTTTTAAAACTGCTGTGAATTTGCAACTGTCAACAGCTACAATTTTGCGAAAATGAAAAGCGTTCGTGATTTAAATTTTTAATGTTTAAAAACTTACTCCCATGTTGCATTAGCTGGGATCATAAAAATTTGCAAAAACTGAGAATAAAGCAACGATTTTGATATTTCTCATCTAGGTGACAAAATGTGGCCCCACTGCCGATTTTTAAAAGAGGTTGAATAACTTTTAAAATGTTTAAGTTATTTGTTTATTTTAAACCCAGTTAATTCTTCACAGCAAGATTATTTACAAAGTTTAAAATCATTGCATTGCTTCAATTGACAGAGCTTCAAAATACGGCGTAATAAAATACGAATCAAAAGAGTATGTCAGTATTTCACGCATTAAAACCTAACATGTTAAGCATGCTAAAATTAATTAATATTTTGTTAAACCTCTTAAAATTCGTGTTAAAAAAAGCTTTACCTTTGTGGTAAAATCACCATTATTAATGAGTAAGCATTCTATAGATATATTGCCAGATTGTTTAAAATCCCGGTTGTTCGTTCCGATCGAACGCTTACGAACATTACGTAGGAGGTGACTATCTGAGTCGCCATCTCGTCTGCCTCTTTCAGAACAGAAAACTTTTACTTTTCTTTACACCTGTCAATCATTTAACCTGCATTCTAGCAGACAGTATGTCGCTTTGCATAGTGACCTTCACAGCGTCTGTCGCTTAAATGGCAACGAGGAAAATCCTTCGATTTGTTTATTCTTTTTCTGATGGATGAATTAGGCGCGATCGTTTCAGATGTCGTAATGATTCTAATTGGCGAGGAAAATTATGTTTATTATCGGCGATGAGTCAATGATTTTGATAAAATCTTGCCAGCCCAACTCATCGTCGATCGAAAGGAAACTTTATCAAGTTAACATTTAAGAAATGTCACTGAAAATATACGGTATTTTCTGTCTTATTTCTTAACTTATCTGAAATTATTCTAATTCGTAATGATTCTAATTAACGAGGAAAATTATGTTTATTATCGGCGATGAGTCAATGATATTGATAAAATCATACCAGCCCAACTCATTGTCGATCGAAAGCAAATTTTATCAAGTTACCGTATATTTTCAGTAATATTTCTGAAATGTTATCTTCTGACTTATTTTTAACTTATCTGAAATGATTCTAATTCGTAATGATTTTAATTAACGAGGAAAATTATGTTTATTATCGGCGATGAGTCAATGATATTGATAAAATCTTCTCAGCCCAACTCATCGTCGATCGAAAGCAAATTTTATCAAGTTAACATTTCAGAAATATCACTGAAAATATACGGTATTTTCTGTCTTATTTCTAACTTATCTGAAATGATTCTAATTCGTAATGATTCTAATTGGCGAGGAAAATTATGTTTATTATCGGCGATGATTCAATGATTTTGATAAAATCTTCTCAGCCCAACTCATCGTCGATCGAAAGGAAACTTTATCAAGTTAACATTTCAGAAATATCACTGAAAATATACCGTATTTTCTGTCTTATTTTTAACTTATCTGAAATGTAATTGCAATTTTTTTGTACTGTTTGCGATCAAGTTATTTTTGTGTTATAATTAAGTTCTCAGAAATGTGTTGTTAGTTTCTGTAATAGTTTGTAAATAAATTAATTTGAAGTCGATTTTGATTTAATAGAAATGATGTTAGATGGTGTTTTGATTTAATAGAAATAAATAAGTATCATTTAATTTAATTCACGTTTTGTGAAATTAGTTTTGCAAGGAATGAAAAAATCTTGTAAAAATTGTTGGAAAAATCTTGTTTATTATTACTATCTCTTAATTACATTAGACAAACTTAGCTTTCTGTAGTTTCGATTGTTATTTGTTTGATTATTTTTTGATTTAGTGAAAGTTACAATTAAAACAGTTATTGTATTGAAAATCCAATATTAGCCATCCCAGTAGCTTTTTGTCCCATACGTTTATAACATTTGCATATTTAAAACAATTTTTTATTTATTTGAAAAACATGTTTTTATTATTCGTAAATATTATTGTTGTTTCCTAAATATTGCATCATAAATTCAATTAAAAATGAAAATTTAGCTATCTAATGAATTAATAAAAAATAAAATCTTTTAATAAAAAGTGGTAGCTTTTTGTCCCATACGTTTATTACAATGGCATATTTAAAACAATTTTTATTTATTTGAAAATTATGTTTTTATTATTCGTAAATATTATTGTTGTTTCTTAAATATTGCATCATAAATTCAATTAAAAATGAAAATTTAGCTATCTAATGAATTAATAAAAAATAAAATCTTTTAATAAAAAGTAGTAGCTTTTTGTCCCATACGCTTATTACAATGGCATATTTAAAACAATTTTTATTTATTTGAAAAACATGTTTTTATTATTCGTAAAAATTATTGTTGTTTCCTAAATATTGCATCATAAATTCAATTAAAAATGAAAATTTAGCTATCTAATGAATTAATAAAAAATAAATCTTTCAATAAAAAATAGTAGCTTTTTGTCCCATACGCTTATTACATTGGCATATTTAGAACTATTTTTTATGTATTTGAAAAACATGTTTTTATTATTCGTAAAAATTATTGTTGTTTCCTAAATATTGCATCATAAATTCAATTAAAAATGAAAATTTAGCTATCTAATGAATTAATAAAAAATAAAATCTTTCAATAAAAAATAGTAGCTTTTTGTCCCATACACTTATTACATTGGCATATTTAAAACAATTTTTTATTTATTTGAAAAACATGTTTTTATTATTCGTAAATATTATTGTTGTTTCGCAAATATTGCATCATAAATTCAATTAAAAATGAAAATTTAGCTATCTAATAAATTAATAAAAAATAAAATCTTTTAATAAAAAGTAGTAGCTTTTTGTCCCATACGCTTATTACAATGGCATATTTAAAACAATTTTTATTTATTTGAAAAACATGTTTTTATTATTCGTAAATATTATTGTTGTTTCCTAAATATTGCATCATAAATTCAATTAAAAATGAAAATTTAGCTATCTAATGAATTAATAAAAAATAAAATCTTTTTATGAAAAATAGTAGCTTTTTGTCCCATACGCTTATTACATTGGCATATTTAAAACAATTTTTTATTTATTTAAAGAACATGTTTTTATTATTCGTAAAAATTATTGTTGTTTCCTAAATATTGCATCAATTAAAAATGAAAATTTAGCTGTCTAATGAATTAATGAAAAATCAATGCTTTTAATAAAAAAATAATAGCTATTTGTCCCATACGCTTATTACATTGGCATATTTAAAAAAAAATTTATTTATTTGAAAAGCATGTTTTTATTATTCGTATATATTATTGTTTTTTCGCAAATATTGCATCATAAATTCAATTAAAAATGAAAATGTAGCTATCTAATAAATTAATAAAAAATAAAAACGCCTCTTATAAATTTTTTTTATGCAATTCTTTCGAAAGAGGATAGTTAGTTAAGCCATAAAATTGCCTCCCATGACTATATAATTATAGAAACAAATTGAGTAAACTCATTATTATTTCACCGCAAGTGTTTTCATTTAAGAAATTGTTAGGATAGGGAAAAGATAAACTTAGAAATATACCAAAACGTCGAAAATCTCTTATTTTTGCTATGATAGGATGTCAAGGTAACTTTCACGTGACGCGACTCACATACTAAACATTCGACCTCACTTAGTGAAATCAGCTGAGCAGGTGATATTGATCTTACAAGTGACTTAGACGTATGTAGCGCCATCTAGAATCGAAAATGATAAACAAATAGTAGCGTTTGTCTTGAATTACCTAATTTTTCTTTAGTAATTTGATTAAAATATTTTGGTTCACATATAAAAATTTTATGATTTGTTATTTTGATGTTTGCATCGAATTTTTACTGAAAGATACAAAATTATTTGAGTGGTGCATTTTAAAACTAGTATTTATGTGAGGTTAAATTATTTATTGAATTTTTTGCCTTTGTATGCCAGATTGATAATTTTTGTATTACTCAAAATTTTATTGAAGTTTTAATTTGCAATTTTTTTTACAGGTTTGGAATTTCTAAGAAATTGTACATATCGATTTATTGAATAATCCACACATATCTATGTATTATGTACAGGTATGTATTTTTGAAATTTAAGTTAAATAAAATTATTAAAATAATTATTATTCAAAGTAATTAATTATATAACAATATTTGCATCTTGACATTCTTTAATAATATTAAAAAAATGAAAAGATGAAGGTTCTAGTGACATATCAGTGAATTAGTTTTAATTAATTAGCAATTAAGTGAATTCGGAAAATCAGTAAGTTTCAAAGTTCTTACTTTTACAACAGGTAATGAAGATCATGCATTGCCTTTATTACTTAGCCGCACCTTTCTACATATCTCTTAATCTACATATCTACATATCTCTTAAAACTCGTTTTTGTTTTGCTATTCGCATCATAGCGTTCTGACTCTTGACGCTTTAATTTTCTGTAGAAAGAGAGGCTTTCTAAAATTACTCTTCAATTTTTTTTAAGTGAAATGCAATTGGAACCTTCTTTTGCGGCAAAAACACATCAAAAAAGTTAGTGCTCACATTCACAGGGTTCTGCAAAATTGAAAGACTTGGCTCGAAATGAATTTTTCAATTAAGCTCTTTAATTTTAAAAGAAGTTTTTTCTGCAAAATAATAACATTTATGAATCTTTCTCGATTCTCTTACGAATGTTCCTTAATTTTCTCTACCGTTTTGTATTTATATGGAATTATAGTCACAACAAAATTGTGCATATTTTGTTTGTTATGAAAATACTCTGAACTTTTGGTGTAATATTTAGATTACCTCTTTCTAAGATGCAAATTCAAAGATTCGAAGAACATATTTTGTGAATTATTAAGAAGCGCAGGCGATAATTGAAATTATGAGACCGCACTTGCATTTTCTCTGCATAAATCTTTTTTTTTTTTTTTTGGATGGATTTGTTCTTTACGATTGTCTTGATAGAAAAAAAAAATCATTGAATTATTCGCTAAAGTTTTTACATTATGTTTACGGTGCTCCAAAAAGAAAAAAAAACGGACAACCCTGAATAACTTTTGATCTAATGCTCGAATCTTTACTATCTAAGTATCCACCTTAATGGTTCGAGGGGGTGACCTAAAATATGCTGATTAATTACCTTAGACGATATTTTAAGTTATGAAATCAGACACAAATACGTACTTTTTCTGAATAAACATATCTCTTTTTTTATGACGGATTCGAATTTCTGACCCCATAATATAGGGGTTAGCCCTATCCAATCCGTCCTAACATGATCTGAATAGAATCAGGAGTGCAATATCACAAGTTTGGGCCCCCTAATGTTAATTTAAATTTATTTAATATAAGTCGAAAAACTGTTGAATAGTAAAGTATATAAGTTTTTTTATATAATTTTAAATTATCTTATTTTATATGAAAAAAATGCAAAATTTGAGCGATATCGATTAAATAGTTACTGAGAAACAGAATTTTAAATACACGGCTTTTTTAAAATTTGATTTCTCAGGAATTATTCAACCAATTTCGCTCAAATTTTGTATTTTGCAATGTAAAATTAGATGCTTTAAACTGGTGCTAAAAAATTTTATCGCTTACAATTCAATTTTTTTCCGACTTTTACTAAATAAAATCATAAAAAAACAATAAATATTTACTAAAATTAATTTTTTTCGTGGAAATTAATTTTATAATTGTCTGCAAAAATTTTAAATTTGCTGAAAAAGTTATCTATATAAAGTAAAACTAACATTAAGGGCTCCAAACTTTGGACCGCCCCTCCTGACCAAACTATTTTGACTTTATTTCCTAGATTGCGGCTACCCCCAGTACCTGGGGATCAGAAATTTTAATCAGTCCAAATCTTTGTTCTGAAAAAGTACGTTTTTGTGTCTGACTTCGTAGTTTAAAATATCGTCTGCACCAATTAATTAGCATATTTTCGGTCACCCTCTCAAACCATTCAGATTGAGTCCTAGAACGTGAAGATCCGATTATTAGATCAAAAGTTATTCAAGGTGGTCCGTTTTTCCCCCCCTCCTCACTGTCCATATAATTTTAAGTATTCAAATTTAAAATTGAAAAAGAAACCGTATACTTAATAATATAACAGTACAATCATTTAAAATTTTTTTATTTTCCCATTATAAAACTAAATAATAAAAAAAGAGTATTTGATAATTTTTTTAATTGTTTTAAGCCTGAACTTTTATCAGGGTAATTGAAATTCTCGCAACTATTTAGAGCGATAGGAGAAGTTATTATGTTACAATACAACAACATACTTCAATAACAGATCGAAAATTAATTTGTTATAATATTTTAATACTGAAATACTTTGTAATAATAATTATTCTAGAGGTAATCTGTTACTGAACTTTTATAATTATAATAATTCGTTTTTACAGTAATGTGCTATAATAACCGTTAGGGAGTTAATTTTGTAATATTTTATAATGAACTACTTTCTTATAATAACTGTTGCTGTACTAATTAGAATAAACTGTTACTTAAGTATTTCAACGTGATACAATAATAGTTGGATAGTAATTTTCAATAAAATACTTTGTTATAACAATTATTCGAAAGTTAATTTTGTGCTATACTTATATAATTAAAGTAAATTGTTATATATATTAGTGTTAGATTTTAGTTGTTATAATAGTTTTATTATAAAATATATTATTATAATAGTGATATAGCATTTTATCACACTCTTAAAAATTATTGTATCACTATTGTATCTAGTTATTAACTTAAATGTGTTATAAGTCAATTTTTACATTTACTAAGTATACAACTAGATGATAATAATATTATATAACTAAATTATTATACACTACTATATATAACTAGCATATAATATTCTAGTATAGCATATAACTAGCATATTCTAGTTACAGATAATTTAGTTACATAACTATAATTATAGAGTAACAAGCAGGTTACTATCCTAAAAAATCATTATAAAAGTGCACTGGTTTCTATAAAATTCTTGTAAAAGGCGAATTTGTTACTATATTTGTCTAAACTCGTCATCAACTTAAAATAAAATTTAATTTCTAGAAAGTATGATAAAATTAAAAATATCATATATTTTATGAAAACTTTCAAATACACATCTTTCTGCGATTATAACGATGTCAAACGGAACAACATTAAAACTTGAAGCAGAAAATTTGTCCTGATATTAAAATGTAACATCATCCAAATTTCAAACCAATATCCCTTTATATTTCCTGAAACCGTCGTCTGCTAGCTTTCAACTCTCTTCATTCTCTTTACACCGATGATCCAAATAATCAACCGCGAATTCTGCTGGAGTATGTTCTCGAATCCTCAAACAGCCACCGAGACGTAAATAAAACACTTCGAACGAACAATTCTCTCTCTTCTTGAAAGACAGGGGAGGTGGGGAGGGCAAGAATATAACAGATTTGCATCCCAAATCATTTCAAATATGTTCTAGTTTTGAATATCACTTTAGATGGGTATATTACGCGAGTATCTTTAGCTTGTTTCTGTTTTGCAATATTATCGTCTGCCTGAATAAAACTACTGGCAGACGATTTCTCATTCTCATGCAGTTTTAATAAATATTTTATCGTGAGAAAACTTATTCTGTTGTTTAAAATTCCATTTTGTTTTTTAATGTACGGAGAAAATGTTCTTCGGAAATTTTTTATGGACATAAAAAAAAACGATTCATATTTCTCTAGTCAAAATATAATTTATTGTTTATTTATGAAATTACGATACATTTGAAAGAATTCATTTTTTGTTGTTCTATTATTTTGTAAATAATTTTCCTTTCGGATTGTATTGATAAAACTTCTTTTATTATTTCCTGGCTTTATTGTCGATTTAATAAATCATATTTTTATCATGAACTTTAACGAAGAATATTTTGGAATTTTCAAATTTGTTAGTCACTAAATGGCATTGTTCTCTTTCATTAAAAAAATAGAATATTCTGGCTAATATCAGTCAGTTGATATTCAGTCAGTTGATTGATATAATCAGTTGATATTCTAAAGTTATGCTACGCAGATCACTTAGTTCACAGAAGAAAAAAATCTCAGTCTTTCGTGAAAGGGTAGGACAAATTTTAAGCGGAAAATATTTTTATTAAACACACTTTCAATTTTGAAATTAAAAAATTAAGAATTCATTTTTATATAAGTAATTGAAACTTCATGTGAATTTTTTTCTTCAAACCATTTCTGATTATAACAAGTGGAACTGCAATATTTGAAGCAGATACCCACTATGCAATATATGATTTGCAATATACCTCGTACGCGAATGTAATTTAAAGAATGAGACTTATGTTGAAGAAAATTTTCTCAATCGTACCACTTTTCACATTTAATTTTTAATCAGTCACAAATCCCTGACAATTACATTCGAAATATTTTAATAATAAAAATACAGTTATTCAGCTACTTATGTTATTTTTTGGTACTAGTATTTGTACAGTAAGTACTGAAAATTATTTTCTCGTGGTCTGCAAGTGGTACAGTTTAAGAAAACAATAGCCTTTCCACCTGCTCCCTAAATTGTTCCAACCTTAAAAGTATTCAAAATTTCAGAATTCAGAAAAGTATTCAGAAAGTTAATAAGTTGACTATGTGTAACCCAACAATAGTTTCATAGCATAATAAGAAATTCGATATTATTTTTTAACTGTTACATCAGTGTTAGAAAATTTAACTGTTGTAACGGTTAAATTATGTTAGTTAAAAAAAGTTAGTAATTAGTTAGTTATAAAAGTTAAATGTTGTAACATTTAACTTTTTGTAGAAATTGCATCTTTTTTTTTTTAATCTAGTGCAGTGGTTCCCAATCTTCTTGGGGTTGGCAGACACCTATCGCCCCATTCTCTTTTTGCTCAAAAAACCATTTATTGTTNATATATTTTCAATTTCAATCTCAAATAGCTTTTATTATTAATATTATTAGCAATTTTTAACTTTTGAGTACTCGTCGCCCCCTGATCACCCCCTTACGGATTATCGCCTCCTTGAGAAGCTCTATCGCCCCCAGGTTGGGAACCACTGATCTAGTGCAAATTTCGTTCATAGATTTTA